ATTATTAAAGATATTTCAGTGCTTTTACCACTGGCCTCAGCAGGATTCAAGAGTTTCATTTTCACACCTAAATACCTTTGAGAATGGAGGCTCTGAGTGGTGTTGGAAATTTATTCTTTTTGTATTTTAAGGCCCTGTTGGAAGCAAAGGGCTCAGCTCTCCAAACAAGCCCTGCCAGGCATTGAAGTCCCAGCAGTGTCCAAGTGCCCTGACCCTGCTCTGGTGTGTTTGGGGTGGGTTCCTTGGGTCCTGTGCTGCCTTCAGCTGGGGCAGAGTGAATTTCCTTCTCAGTGGCTGGTCTGGGCTGTGTTTGGGTTTGTGCTGAGCACAGGGCTGATAATTCAGAGATTTCTGTTCTTGCTGAGCTCACTCAGAGAGAGCCAAGGCTTTTCCTGCCCTCATCCAGCCACGCTGGGGAGGGGCTGGGGGTGCCTGGGACTGACCCCAGGGATGTTCCAGACCATAGGACATGATGCTCAGGATAGAAATAATATTCCTTCATGCCAAAGAAGGAATTGAGGGACATTTGGACTGAGGAGCACAACAAGCCACGACAGGAGCTCCAGCACCCCAAAACATTCGCACACCTGGGCCGTGGCAGCCTGGGCTGTATGGCAGGCTATGATTTGTTGTCACCTTTACAAACACAACAACAAAATCACTAGTCTTCCACACAGAGCCAGGCCAGGAAAGCAGCTGCACGTCTTCTCCCAGCATCCTTCCTGAGTTCTTCTCATCCTGTAATCCTTGTTCCTGTCACTCCTGCAGGGGTGGATGCTGCCCTTTGCAGCGTTCCTCCCGAGACCACAGCAAATCTCCCTGTAATCATCTCTCCAATTTGTGCTCTTCCCTTGAGTTTCTGCTCCATTTTCTCACTCCAGAGACTCTACAGGGACATCAGGACTCAGCAGGGGCCCCTCTTGCCTTACCCTGGGATAAACTTCTCCAGGAGTGCTCTGTCAACTGTCTGTCTCCCAGCTGTATTTGAGTCTGCTACAATAAGCAAATGCAATATATGCTGGGGAACACTGGAGAAAAGGACTCTGCAAAGAGAAAGATAATGATAGTGCCAAGTTTCCTGGAATCCCACTGAGAAGCTGATTTATACAAGGAAAACAGACCCCTTTTGCTGCTCCCTTTCTCTGGATTTGTTGATGAGCAATCTTTGGTTCAGGCCCAGCTTTTCTTTCACTGCCCAGGTTTTCTCTGTTAATCCCTCACGTGGATTAATCCCTCCACACCCATGGAAAGGATCTGACTTTATTCCTTGTCCAGCAGAGCTTTACTCACCTCAGCCTCTGCAATCAGGCAGGGAACAGCCTCTTCCCATCTTCACCCAGCTGTTATGGGTACTTTTGTAAGCAGGTGAGGAAAAAAGGGAAAAGAAATAAAACCATTCCTCAGCAGCCTTGGCTGCTCCTTCCATGGGAGGATGAAGAGTGTGCAGCAACAGGAGAGAGTTTGGGTTTGATGCTGGCAGGGGCTGTGCCCTGGGGGAGCTCATGGGGAGCAGTCCCATCCCTCCATCCCCCTTTTTATAGCATATGTGCTTTCTATGGACACTATTCTAACTCCAGATGGGTGTTTCAGTCTGGGGATTTGTGCAGCTCTGAGATAACAGCCCTTTGTGCTGGCCTAGGTAGCAGAGAGTGTTTGTAATAGCTGGGGCTGATACTAGGAGATGTCCAGGTGGTCTTATTTAACAGGGAGCTTTAGTGATACTGCCATTGTCCAGGAAATCAGATAAAAACGGGTCCAGGTGTTACCCAACACCGTGTTTGTGTAAGGACAGAGCCAGCTGCTGAACATGGGGGGATGTGTTCTTGGACAAAACTGCTGTCACCCCAAACCTCCCGGGTAAAATTTAACCAGGAGCTGAATTTGGATGATCCCTGATGAGTCCCTTACACTCAGGATACTCTGTGATTCTAATCTGAATATCAAGTGGAACAGTAGTGAGTATGCAGTGAAAACATGTGGGGAGTTAGACAATATTTAGAAATAGAAATTCAGGACAATTCAGTCTTTGGCCCAAGTTAACTGGAAGAGAGGATAAATTGTAAAGAAGAATGAATTTGAAAGAGAAGACAGTTTGGGAATTGCTAAGCTGGACTGGAGTTCCAGGTGACAAGGACACTATTCAGTCCTTTTTCTAGGACACAGCTCCACAAAGGGATTTACCACAAAACATTGCCAGACAGTCAGGTAAAAATCAAGACAGGAGACATGTGAGCAAGAGCTGCTCTGTTGGCTTCACACCCAGCCATTCCCTGTTTAGAGTGAGGTGTTAAGTAGGAAACATAAATTACAGGCTCAGAGGCATGTGAGGTTTTTGTCTAGACTGTCTCTGCGGGGCTGTATTTCTCTGTGTGGTATTTGTCAGGAAGGGATCTGCCACTTGTGCTTTGTCCCAGAGCTTTCAGGGACGTGGCTCCTTGTACTGGTGGCAGCTGGACCTCGCCCCTCTCCCTGGCACTGGGAGGCTCCTTGGGAATTATTTCTATGGATGGGAGCTAAACTTAGCTCAGAACACGGGAAAAAGCCTGTCTGGAAAGAGTGGGGACTCTTGGCCTCCAGCTATCTCCGACCAGGCTCATCACTGAGAGATCCCCAGCTGCACTTCCAGGCTGTAAATTAAACAAACAGAATTTCCTCTACACCAGACCACAGGGAGGGCAGAGAGAACAATGTGGCCTTATTGCTGTTATTTCCTTTGGTTTCAATCTCTGTCCTCTGCCCCCCACCTCCTCCCCAGCCCCGTGTCTCCCACTTTACCCGATTTGTCATTTATTACCGTGCTTTAAAGAGAGGCAGGGGGAAAAATGCTCAGTGCAAATTATATTTTGAGCTGTTGTGCTTTGCCTCTTTGGTGGATAATAAATCTCTCTGGCAATGCTCCTCTGTATAGGATTTGTCATTAAATGCAATTAAACAAACCCTGCAGGTGTCCATGATCAGGCCTGCAGCAGCCCATTCACAACTGCAATGTTATTATCAGCCTGACAACAAAACACCAGATATTTCCTGAGCTCCTCTGATCGATGAGCTTGCCTGATTTGGAACTGGAGGGAGGAGAGAAGGGGGACCAAAGCAGTTCAAATGCTCTTTAGACTTATTGATGGAAAAGTCAAAAAGCTGCTCAGCAATCAGAGAGAAGGTGGAGACAGAAAAGGGCTGAGGGACAGAAGGGCTAAAAGGGAAAAATGAGAGAGGAGTGTTTGGGAGTCAAAAGGCAGAAACAAGGTGAGTTATCACATGGTGCCCTTCCACCCAGTGAGCTGGTTAATGCACAAGACTGGAGTTTAAGAGGCAAGGAGGGTATTTCAGGGGTGATTCTATGGCAGCTGGGCTTTCAATGTTGTGATGTAGCCTCCCTGCCCAGTTGGCACAACAATTCCTCTCACCCCGGGACAGGACCTGACTGGCATTGTCCAGGGATGTCCGTCTGTCTCCACAAACTGTAGCCAAATGGTTGGATCAGACACCCAGCTAATTTCAAACCCCACCTGGAACAGTCAATGGAACTGGACAGGGCTTGGAGCAGCCTGGGATAGTGGAAGTGTCCCTGGCCATGGCAGCAGTGGCACTGGATGAGCTTTATGGTCCTTCCAACCCAAACCATTTGGGATTCTGTGACTCTCTGAGTGCGAGTTCTTCCCTATCCTCATTCACACCCCGAAGCATGTCCTGGCACAGCTTTGGGAAGCTGCAGAGGTGCTGCTGACAGGACTTGTCCAAAGCAGATGCAACAACATTCACACCAGAATTGCTGTGTGCTCTGACAATCAGGAACAGGAAAAAATCTCCTGTGGTTTCTGTGAGCCATCCCAGGCAGCCTGTGGAGTGTGAAGGTCAGGGATTCACAGGGGACTGGCTGCTATCAAGTCCAGTGAGAGAGAAGAATTTGCCAACACCAGTGGAATTTTTCTGCCTGCCTTGTTTGCTCAGCTCAGCCTCGGGGTGCTCTCAGGATGAACCTCTGTCCCCTCCTGTTCTCACCCCAGGAATCCTGGTTCAGCCTGGTTGATCCTGGGGCACACACAGAATTGCAGTGACAAGGGACAAAATTCACATTACTGTTCTAGTGCCACCTAAAACAATGGATTTGGCGTTGAATGGGGGAGTCAAGGGTATCAGTAGTGTCTATGTAGAGAGTAAGGAGTGGTTATTTACTCCTACAATAAAAAGTTTTGCAGGGTTCTCTGACTTAAGTTTTAGAGCCTCATCTGTAAGGCACATAGCCTGGAACCCTGTTTGCTGCCAGCCAAGGTCACACTACAGAAGGAGCCAGGAATTCTGTGATCAAGCCATGTATCTCAGAATGGAACTTTCCCTGGAGCCTGCACCTAGATCACTCTGCAGCACTGGTCTCTGGCCCTCCTAAAAACCTATGAATAAGATTTATTAATAAATATATTTTGCATAGCCTCTCCTACAGACCATGGGGACATCTCAGTGACACTGGGTCAGAACACCTGAGAGCCATGGATGTGGGCAAACCCAGCATCTTTACTGGAACTGGCATTGCCCCACTCCAGTCCCTCCCATCTCCCTCTGTTCCTGCCTGGACTCTGCCCTCGGCCCCATCTGCCAGAACCCACAAGTGCCTGCAAACTTCGTGGGGTGCTGAGGCTGTCACACAGGGACCTGCTCTCTCCTGGGACAGAGGGACAAGAGCTGGCACGTCCCAGGGCCAGCCCGAGGAGCCGGGGGCTGCTGTGAGCCCTCGAGCACAGAGTGGAACTGCAGATTTCCGCCACGGGAGCAGCAGGGTTGGGGCTGGGCTGGTGGGGAAACCCCCCGGAGCTTCCATCAGTGGCTGTGAGCAAATCGAGGGCAGGATGGAAATGCACAGCAGATTGGATCGACTTCAACAAACACCTTTTCCCTCCTTCCTTCCTTCCACTTCTCCTCCTCCCCACCTCCAGCAGTTCCTCTCTCCGCTGCTCATCTCCCTTTGTGCACCTCTTCCTCGCACTCTCCTCTCTAAACAGGTGCAGTTGCCACTCAATAGACTTTAATTACCACTTCAAGGGCTCTCACCGGGGTCTGCGGGAGGGTGGAGATGAATTTTCCCGAGGATTATGCGTGTGGCTGAGTTCTCTTCAGTCAGATGGTGATACTGCTGCCAGCCGGGATCCTTCGAGAGATCGCTTCTTCGGTTCTCTGCTCGTGTTAACAAAAAGGAAAACTGCTCCTGAAGGGGAATAAAAAACAACCCAGCCATTACCTGGATTAATTAGCAGGACAGCAAATGGGTCTGGAGAAAAATGTTATAGAAAATTTACAGCCCAGGAGTCTCAGCTGGGCTTCCAAACTATTATTCCTTGCAAATCAGAAGTGGAGAGCTCAGCATCTCGGAAGATTTCTGTGGGAGACTGGGCTCTAAAAATACAAGTTGTTTTTAACCACTTTACCTTTTTTTTTTTTTTTTTTTTTT